AATAAAGGAAAAGGAAAAAGTTTTGTAACACATTTTTCATTTGTTAATACTAGTTTTGAAAAATTCGTTCAATTTTTTGTTTTTTTTTTTTTTTCACTTTTACGAGCGAGAAAAACGTTTACCCAATATTATTATTATTATTATTATTAGTATTATTAATGGGGAAAAATTTTTTTTAAAAAGGTAGTTAATTGGATTTTGACGAGTGGAAATCGATATTATGCACTTTATTTCCTGGACGGACGGACGACGAAATAAAAATTGTAATTAATTTTTTTTTTTTTTTAATTTAATCGTTTAAGTCCTTAGTTGGATTAAAAAAAAATACGATTGGAGTGTTTGTTTGTTTGTTTGTTTTCGAGTTGTGTTTGTGACATGTTGAAAAAGCAAAAAAATAAAAAAAGCTAAAACAAAAAAAAAATTTTACCGTTTCCGTTTATATTCATTCGTCTTTGTAATTTTTTTTTTTTTTTTTTTAACTACTTGAAACTAGGGAGAAAATTTTTTTTTTTTTTGCATGCAGAAAACAAAAACGCGATGAGGTTGCTCCCCATAAAAAAAAAGAAAAAATGCGGGAGGAGTAAAGGAAAAATGCAGGCTTATTAAAAAATCCTTATTGATTAGTAAATCAAACATGTACTTTGTACGAATCGAAATTTTTTAACGGTTACACTTACGAGTACGAAAACAAACTTTGCAAAAAAAAAAAAAAAAAAAAAGGAACAAAAACTAAGTCTAGGAAGTCGTTGTTAAAATGAGTAACAACAACAACAACAAACGACAAACGACAGGGTTTTTTTTTTGTGATAAGTCACGGTACGTGCACACGCGCGTGTTTCGAATAGTCAATTACCAAAATTAAGAATTTATTTATCGTCATCGTCATCATCATCATCATCATCATCGTCGTAAGGTCGTCTTTTAAAATGCAAAAAATCATTCCTAGGTACTAAGAATTTTATTTGACTCACCTGCGTACCTGATTTCGTTAAAAAAAAAGATGGAGAAGGAGATTCGGTATAAATTTCAATTTGATTTTCGACTCGAAAAAAAAAAATGAAAAAAAGATGATTAATTTAAAATTTTTATCTTCACTTCTCGACATCTTTCTTCTCTGTCTGCCTGCTTGCCTACCTACCTACCTGCCCACCTGCTTGCCTCTCTCTCTCTTTCTCTCTCTCGAGGGAGTACGAGAAGGAGGAAAATTTGCACCTTGATTTTTTTTTTTTATCTTTTTTCCGGCTGCTTTTTTTTTTTTTTACTCTTTCGCGTAAATGATATTTTAATATTCTTCGGTTTCGACTCCTTCCTACTTTTTTCTACTAATTCTGCTACCACGACGCTTTCGTTAAAAAATCATTGGGATTGGAAAAAACGTTTCACGACGAAATGACGTTATAATAATAATAATAATGACGTATATGTTTTTTTTTTTAACGAATAAAACGTTTCGCTTTTTGAAATTCGATAGAAAATTCTTTTTTCGATTTAAATCGAGAGTGATTCTGTTGCTTTTAACTTTTCCCCTCCCCCCCTTTTTTAAAATTGTTGCGTTTGTGAGTAATGGAAATCGATTGTCGATGATATCACGTATTATCATCATACGATACGACGACAAATACCCGATTCGACATAACAGGTATGCGAGAATAAAAATGTCGATTCGAATTTGCGTCGCGACATTTTCTTATATATTTATCCTTTAAATATTACACGATAATTATTTGTATTTTTCCGCCATTTTGTTTTTTGTTATTGTAGTTAAAATTGACGCACATACGCGCGCACACACACACTACTTTTAATTCTTTCGATTGGTGACATTTTATAACTTTTTTTTTTTCATTTTTTTCAACACTTTATTTCAAAGGTCTTTTGGTTCAAATAATGACGTCATCAAATTTTTTTTTGTTTTGTTCTGTTTGTGTGTGTGTGTGCGTTAGTGCGTGAGAGATTTACGTAAAAAATTTTGTTGGAAACTTTAAAAGTTAACTTTTAATTATCTAGATATATATGTATATGTATATACACTTGTTTTTTGAATGGGTTACGAACTTGACAACTTTTTGGGTTTCCCTTTTTTCCCTCCCCCTTTCCCTCCTCTCTCCCCCTCCCCAATTTCGCGTGAACAAATTCAAGTTTTATATTTCAAGAGAAAAGAGAAGGAATTGAATTTTCATTGCATAGAGTAAAAAAAAAAAAAAAAAAATCAAACAAAAATTTATTAAAATGTGATGAAATATTTGAAATATTCTTTTATATTAAGATTTTTTTTTTTTTTTTATTCTTTGGAATTCCATCTGCATTCTGGAGAAAAAAAAAAATTGATTTCCATATATATTAATTTATATTTTAATGGCGTTTCAGATTTCAAAAAAAAATAAAAAAAATTTATAAAACGTGAAAAACATACCGAGAAAAAAAAAAAAAAGAAAAAAACGATTTCGATACGAAGTGATGAAAATGAAGGGAAAGAGGGAGAGGGGGAGAGGGAAAAACAAAGGTTGGTGGGAAATTTTATAATTTTCTACTGGAAAAATATATAAACAAAACAAAGGACGTTTTTATTATTATTATTATTCCTTAACCGCGCGATTTTCTTCACTCGATTTTGGGTTTTGTTCTTTCCATGACGACATCGTTTATCACGGGTGGGGGGCGGTTGTAAGAATTTCGAATCATTTGTCGGATGTAAATATTAGAAAAAAACTGTTCGATTCGTAATAAAATAAAATTATGATGACCCCCCACTCTCCCCCCCACCTCCTCATCACTTTTAAAATTCGAACGCCATCCGTTTTGCGGTTTCGAAATCACATGGGTCGAACACACACAAACACAAACACATTAAAACAATTAGAATCCCGGTGGATCCCTTTTCATCGCATTAAAAATAAGTTGTAATCGTTGTAATGGGGGGAAAAAAAACAAATAATAATAATGATGATAATAACCTTTTTTTTTATTCACGCGCTCGCGTACCTGACGAGTACGTTCAAACTCTTTCGTAATTGATTTTTGTTGTTGTTTATGTTTTTCGTTTTCAGTGTACGAAAAAGAAGTTTTTTTTTTTTTTTATTTTTTTAGAAAAGAAAAAAGGTTTTTTTTATTTTAGAAAAAAAAAGGTCGAAGGGTTTTCTAGTTGAAAAACAAGGAAAAGATAGAGACTGAGAGAGGGTGGGTGGGTGAGTAGGAAGGGAGGGAGGGAAACCCGTTTTAAGCAAATGAATTAAATTTTCCACAAATTAATTCAAATGGAAAAACGAAAAAAAAAAAAAAAAGATATAATGTGTTTTAATAAAAAATTAAAATTTCAGTTGATTGTGTTCTGCTAAGAATTAAAAGATTAAAATCAGAAATATTTTATTTTATTTTTGTTTTATTTTTTTTTTGGCATCATCGAGGGGCTCAAACGCAAGTGGGGGGAGGGAGAGAGAGAGGGGGGGGAAAAGTAAAATAGAGAAAGTTGTTATTGTTGAGTTTGTTTTGGAAAAAAAAAAGTAATTATTATGACGAGTGTCGTCTGTAATTAAAACCATCGGGAAAATTTTTTGGAAAATTTTTCGTTCTTGCCAAAAAAAATAAAATGAAAGAGTTCTTGAGTGGGGGGGAAAGGGGAAGGGGGTGGAAAAGGCGTATTGTAGTTTTTAAACACTATGATGAGATCCCCAAACCTTCTCTGGAATGAACTAAAAAAACCCGAAACGAATATTTCATGAGATTGCAGGGATATATACGCGCGTAAATGAAATAAATATTGATGGAGATGATGATAATAATGATGATGATAATAATAATGATTTGAATAAAAAATTTAAAAAAATTTTATTGAAGGAAAAACGATTTCTCGTAGCGGTTTGTCATATCGATGACACCCTTTACGTCTTTTTTTTTTTTCATTTTTAAAATTATTTTCAAACGTCGGGAATTCGAAGAAAGAGAAGAAGAAGAAGGAAAATGAGGGGGGAGGCTCAAAAAGGGAAGGGGAGAGGTGGAAACACAGATTTGTATTTAAAATCTTCACGTGTTTTATATAAAACATTGTTTTTAATCGTAGACAGACGACACACCTCTCCAAAATAACAACAACAACAAAAAAAAATTAATTTGAAAAAATTGTTTTATTTGTTTTTGAGTTTTTTTTTTTTTTTTTTAATATGGTGAGATCGATCGATAAACAGGCTGATTGGAGTGTTGACATCAATGTTTTTTTTTTTTAGGTGTGTGTGAAGTTAAAAATAACAAAAAAAAAATGTGTGTGCATGTGTGTGTGTGTGTGTGTGTCCCGTGCACAAGTTAAAAGTGTGTTTGAGAGAGAGAGAAAGAGAGAAGATGAATTGAAAGGTGAGAATAAGGATGGTGGAATGGAGGTAGGTGGTGGGTGGTGGAGACGAAAGGGAGGACGATAGGGATATATGGAAAATAAAAAAAAATAAAAAAAAGAAGCGTGATTAAAAAACGTTTTTATTTTTGATTTGTTACGTTTTTTTTTTTTTTTTTTTTTTTACAAAAAAAATTAAACGTGTGGGGATTAGAAGGAGAGCGGGGAGGGGGGAGGAGGAGGAAAGGTTTTTATATTTGGATTTTATTTTTTTTGTTAACTTTAAATTTATGGTTTCCACTTTTCATCCAATTTTTTTTTTTTTTTTTCATTTTTTTCCATTTTTCCATTTTTTTTTAGTCATTGTTATCATTATTAAAATTAGACAAAACAAAAAAAATTTTTTTTTTAATGACTCGATTATTCATTTTTTTTTTTTTTTTTAATTTTTAAAAAAGGTTTTTTTTTTTTTAAAAATGAAGGAGTCGCAGTCAAGCGGATAAAACGGGGGAGGGGGGGTTTGACGAAAACGAAATTTTTGGGTTTTATCATTGAGAATGTGATACATAAAAAAAACAAAAGAATTGTGTAAAATATACAGAAAATGTTCAGTCACGTTGCCAATAATTTTTTGTTAATTTATCGATTTTATTAACAATTTTTTTTTTTTTTTTTTGTAATGTTTTCAGTTCCGAGATTGGACGTAGAAAATTTAGAAAGCGGATACCACGGTCTAGTAAAAGAAAATGAAACCATCGTCGAGGTGACGCCAAAAATACGAGGAATCGGAGCTGAAATTTGCGGTTTTCGAATCGTCAACAAGCATCATGGCGATGCTCCTTTTGAGGTATTTAAATTAAATGGTTTTTTTTTCTCAATAACAAGAGCTATCGGAAAGGGAAAGAGAGAGAAAGAGATACTTAAGAGAGAGAGGGAATTAAAAAAAAGAAGAAAAAAAAGGATAAATTAAACAAAAAAAAGCATTTATATATATATAAAATATCAATGTTTTTAACGAGAGGGAGAGAGAGAGAGAGAAAAAAGGAAAATTTCACTTTTCCGAACAGAAACTCTCTTGACGTTTCGTGTTCCAAAATTTCAAAAAAAAAAAAGAAAAGAATTATCTTATGGAAATTATGAGTTCAAGTTGGCGTCCGAAGGTCTCACCTCGTTTAAACGTGATTGATTTAACGTGGAGGAAGAAAGAAAAAAAGGAACTTTTGACACGAAACAATTTTTGCTACCTGAAACATTTTTTTTTTTTTATATTTTTGAAAATGAAAATGATTATGGCGGTGGCGGTGGTGGTGGAAAGAAAGAGGAAGTTTTTTTGCGGTTTCCTTTTACTCTCTCTCTTTCCCTCTCTTTCCCCTCTCTCTCTCTCTCATTCTCTCATTTTTTAATTTTTTTTTTTTTTGTAATTCTTCAAAATATTTTTCAATTTACCAAAATGGCGATCGTTATTCTTACGTGTTAAAAAAAAAAAAACAAACTGACAAGAGTTCACATAGAGTGTGATTATAAAAATATCGGTTGTTCCTTTGTTCGTTTCCTTTGTCTTACAATCATTTGTCCTTTTATTGTTTTTTTTTTTTTTATTTCATGTTTGCGGTTGTTGTTTGTTGTTGTTGTTTCCGAGTTTTTTTGATTATTTTATTTAATTTAATTTTTAATCTTAATTTGTGTTTTCCGACTCCGCGAAATTTTACGTCGTACCTTTTTTTTCGTCTGTTTTGAAAAATTTGATCGGATTTTAAAAAAAGGAAAAAAGGAAAAAAAAGAGGGGAAAAAAAATGTTTTTAAAATTTCTACGGAGTTTTTTTTTTTTTTTTTATTATTCGCCGATCACAAATTTGTCACATCGCATTGACGTTATCTTCTTCTCCTTCTTCTTCTTCTTCTTTCTCTTTTCTCGGGATTTAATTCCTTTTCGTCATTTTCTTCTTCCACGTAAATCGCATTCGTTATTTGATGGGTAATAAAATAATGTGTAAAAGTCAGCGTGGCTCCCAAAAAACGAAAGGATTTGTGCGTGTATAATTGAATCTTAAAACGTTTACTTAACTTATGACGAGGATGTCGCCTGGTATTAAAAGGTATCAAAAGTTTAAAATTTAAATAAAATAGTTTGTACCAGATTTAAACGTTTGGAATAAATTTTTCGATAGAACAAAGAAATCATCATCATTTTCATTATCGTCGTTTTATTCTGTCATCATGGGTGCGTTCTTCTATTATTATTATTGTTATTATAATTATTATTATTATTATTTATCTTTTTTTTTCTTTTCTTTCTTTTATTATAATGCATTTATTGTTTTTTTTTTTTTTTTTTTTTTTGTGACTAAGGTGGTTTGTTTCTTTCTCTCCGTCTCTTTCTCTCTCTGTATCTCGTTTCGTTCTTTGAAACGAAAACAACACCTTTGGAATTTTTTTTTCCTCCTTCTACTTCTTCTTCTTCTTCTTCTTTTATTTAATTCCATCAATCGGATGCTGTATATCATTTTTTTTTTATTATTTTTATTGCCTTTGAAATGACTATGAGGTCAATCCGATGCTTTTTTTTTTATCATTTTTTTATTTTTATTTTTATGTATCTATATATATGTTTGTGTGTGTGTGAGTTTTTCCTTTTCCCTTTCCTTTCTTTTTTGATTTATAAAAAAAAAAAAATGTTTGTTTTCCTTTCACGAAACAGGTTTATTTAATGGGAAACCATTTTTTTTTTTTTTGTTTTTTTCAATTGTATAGAGTTTTGTTATAAATTTCCTTATATTTCGTTTAAAAGAATCAAAATCACCGGTAAAAACAAAACAACAGAACAAAGGTCACGATTTTCTTTATTGTAGAAAAGGAAAATTTTTTAAAAAGAAAAAAGGTTGTTCGTTCGAGTAAGGAAAAGATAATAATGGCGTATGTATGTATGTATGTTTGTGTAAAATATGAGAGTCGTGTCGGAAGAATAAGTAATTTTTTTTTTTTTTTTTTGCTTCTCTTTTATTTTTTTTACTTTTTCAAAGAAGGAAGAAGAGAAGGAGGAGGGAGGAGGGAGGAAAATTCTAGAAAGTTTTTTTTTTTTTTCTTTTTAAATCTATTTTTTTCAACCTTTCTACCTTTCTTACCTTTCGTTTCGTTCCTTTTTTTTTTCTCTCAAAACTTATACTTAATTAATTCGGTTTGGAGAGTTTACGCCAATTTTTTTTTTTTTTTCGTCTTAAATAATTTATCATCATCATCATTATTATTTATTTTGTATGCGCTGGAAGTAAAAATCCCGAAAAAAGGGTCATGACTGTGTGTTTGTATGTGTTTGTTAGGGAATGAATGCGATGTAATAAATGAAGGAAGGATGGAAGGAGGTTTAAACAACAACTACGTGCGTCACACGGCTTATAAATATATATACATATATACTAAGTAAAACGTTCTGGAACGGGATTAGACTCCCTTCCCCTCTCTCCCTTCCCTCCCTCCCCCCTCCGTAAAAAAAAAAATCCATTTATAATGAAAAATGCAAAATTTTGTGAAAATGAAAGACGTGATGTTGCTAAGCTTTTAGACGTTTTGAACGGACTTTTCTCTCTCACACTCATTCTCTCTTTGTAATAATCCCTATTTTTCATGCTGTTTTCTACCCCCGCCCCGCTCCGCCCCATCTCTCGCTCTTTTTTTTTTTTGGATTTTTTGATTTTTTTTTTAAAGGGCGGTAGTGTAGTCGAATGCATTATAAATTATATTTTAAAATGAAAAAAAGGTTTACGTTTTTTTTTTTTTTTTTTTTTTTTTTCGCATTGAACTCTACAACGCTGTGTGGTGGTTAATGAATCCCGAAAAAAACGATTCAAAAATCGATAATTTTTCTTTTTTTTGGGGGGGGGGCGGGCAGCGGGGAGCGGAAAATTGTTCGCATTAATTTTGTATTCATTTTATTTTTATTATTATTATTATTATGGTTCATTCTGGTAAAGAAAATTTGAATTTTTTATGAGTCAATATTGTCCGCCGTCTTGCTAGACTATATTTTTCAATATATATACATACATTTATATTTTTCTGGTTGTTTGTTGAAGAAAAAAGTTGTTTTCCGTTGCCAACAACCTCCCCCCTCATCCGATATTAAATATTCATGTTATTTCAATTTTTTTTTGTTGTTGTGACCGCCTTCGCTCCTCCCCTCCTTCTCCCTCCCCACTTTTTTATTCTTTCTGTTGGCAAAGTTTTTGTCGCTGTTGAAAAAAAAAAAACCTTGACAAAATAAAAGGGAGAGAAATTTTTTTCCAGTTCGAACGTCTTCGCCCGTTTAGTCCTTTTTATTAATTACGACGAATAATCATTATTATGATAACGTTCGTAATTATAATGATAAATTTTTAATTAATTAATTAATTGTAATTGTTATTAATATTATTCGGTTCATTAACTAACTAAAAAAAAAAATTATTTTATTGCGAGAGCGTAAAAAAAAAAAAAAAAAGAAAAATTTAAAAAGAGTTAAATTAATTTTTTTTTTTTTAATGTCTTATGATGTTAGGTTGGTAGTCTTTAATTTTTTTTTTTTACGTCTTAATGTTGGTAGTCTTTAATTTTTCTACTCCTTAATTTCGCCATTAAAAAAAAAAAAAAACTATTGCTCATTTATTGATAGTTTTAAGGTTTTTGTAATTTGTTCTTGTCATTCTCTAAAGGCACAAAAATTTATAATTGCGAATGATATAAGAAGAAAACAAAAGAAAGAGAGAGAGAAAATGATTTATAAAAATTAGATGAGAAAGAGAAAAATAGCATATAATAGAAAATTTAAATGAGATTAAAGTGGGGGGAGGTGGAAAAAAGATAGAGAGAGAAATAGGAAAAGAATTTAAAGAGAGGCAGAGAGAGAGAGAAAAAAAAGGAAAAAAGCTGTAAAATTTTTTTCGGGATTTCCCATTAAAATGAAAAAAAAAAAAAGGAAAAAAAGAGGAAAAGAGTGAAAGAGAGAGAGAAAAAAAAAGAAATTGTTAATTAACTTTTAAATTAATTGTTTTGCCAACAATTTTTTTTTCCTTCTTTATTCGGTCGAGTTTGAATTTTTTTTCTTTTCTTTTTAATAAAGGATGAATTTTCTTTTTTCTCTCTCTCTCTCTCTCTCTCCCTCTGTCTTCTTTTTCTTTCTCTCTCTTTTTTTTTCTATTTTTATCCCGTCTTCTCTCCTTTAGGAAAGACAAGATTAAAAAGATGAGAATCTTTTCCATTCCTTTCATTTTTTTTCTTTTTTGTCTCGCTCTATCTCTCTCTCTCTCTCTCTCTCTCTCTCTCTCTCTCTACTTTTCCACCTTCTCTCTCTTTTACACTTTTCTTAGAAATAATAAAATTAAATTTTTACCGCGATGGTGTGTGCTTCTTCTGTTGTTTGAAAAAAAGGAAAAGAAGATTATAAAAAAAAAAAAAAAATTTGAAATGTAATTTAAAGTTTACTTAAAAAGGGATAAATAACTTTTTCAAAACAATTTTTTTTTCCCGGAAGAGAGAGGAGAGGGGATGGATGAAACGGGAAGTTCCACCGGAAAAGAGAATGGGGAATGGGTGGGGGTCGGAGGGGGGTGTATGTCGAGGAATGAGTTTGTGTCCGATTGAAAATTAAAAAAGTTGAAACTTTTTAAAAAAAAAAAAAAAACTTAATGAGATCGATTTAATTTTAAAGTCGATCCTTAACCCCCCCACTATCCCCTCCCCCTTCAAAGACATTCCCCATTAAAAATAATTTTTTTTCTGTCTCTCTCTCTCTCTCTCTCTTTCTCTCTTTTATCTTTGTCAAGTTTTGTATTCGGTTAATATCTTGATTTCTATTTCATCTACAGTTTTCTTTCCTATCATTTTAAAAAATAAAAAAAATGAAAAGATAATATTTGCGATGACGACGACGACGACGACGACTTAAATTCAGGCTTTGAAATTAAATTTTTCGACAATTCTCGAAAAAAAAAGGAATTTCTATTAAGATGTTACTTTTAGATAGTCGGAAAATTGGATTTTTCCCCCTACTATTTTACCCCTCCCTTTCTCCTCCCCCTCTTCCCTCCATTTTTCTCCTTTTTATTCTCTTGCGGAATTTTTTGTGCGCGCGATTGCAAAATGAAAAAAAAAAAAAAAAGAATTAAAACGCGAGAAAAAAAAAAAAATAAACGGAAAAGAAATGATGATGATAAT